AGTGGTCTTGTTTGCATGCAAATTTATAACATGCATGCACTTCTAATTCCCTTGTGAAAATAGCTCTAGCAGGAAGAAAAAAAAAGTGTAAGGTCACAGAAAGGACAGCAGTAATGGCTCTGTCCAGGCATATGTTCAAATCTGGGCTTGCTTGAGCATTTCTGATGCAGGCCCACTCTTTTTTTTTTTTTCTTTTTCTTTTTAAATACAGTTTTTGGCACACAGCCCTGGTCAATAAATAAGTCCCATTGTCACTACACTATCTTAGTCTCTTTCTTAACCCCTAAATTGGGTGTAAAAAAAACTGAATGACTAAATTCTTAATAATATTTGTTTTCAAATAAAAAATGTTCCCTTATTATTTGGAAGGCTACTCCAGAAAAGTTTGCTTTCTTGTTCGCTTGTTGGTTTGAATTTTATTCTTGCATATTAAGTCAGTGTGTTGAAATCCTATAAGCTAATAATGTTACAGTTTCAAGGGAAAAAATTGGAATGATTATTCACACTTTTGTAAAGTGCTGCTCTCAAGTATAAACAGAAAGATTTGAAATTTGTTTTTCACCTAGTAACGATTTTTCCAAGTGTATTCCGGTTGCTGCCACCTAGTGGAGAATTTAATTAGCGGCCTACGGGGAAACTAGGCCTCAGACTCCTCTGTTTAACTAGAGTGTGCTTCTGCCACCTGGAGGTCACATTTTTTATGCCTGAGCTTACACCATGAAGGAACACCACAGGAAGAATTGGGCTATGTGCTGTTAGAGTAAAGGGCTAGGAGCGCCTGTCTACCCTTTGTAAAGTTGATCTTGACACTGTCCCACCGTTCTAGAAAAGACTTGTGAAAGGCTTTGAGCCTTGTCGACAGAGACGGAGCTAGAACTTCAGAATAAACTCTAGATTCTGCTATACATACCTGTGAACACCTGAAGCTTCCTTAGAGGGTGGCTCCTTCCTCATGTCCTCAAAAGGGTTAAACCTTTGCTAATTGGCTTTCAGATTTTCTGAGGTCTTTTGAGGTCTTGTTTATTGGTAGATCTCTGTATTGGGGAATCTTTTAGTGTGTGTGTGTGTGTGTGTGTGTGTGTGTGTCTGTGTGTGTGCAGTGAGTATACATTTAGTGTCCACAGGTATTTATACTGTGCATGTGTGTGTGGCTGTGTGGGTATAACTGCTGAATATGTATATTTAGGGAATGCGTATGTAATATACACAGCTATTCATGCTGCGGGGTACTCATGCATGCATGCAGAGTCCACAGCAGTACTGCAGGCATCCTGCCGTATCACCCTCCACCTTATTATCACAAGTCATAGTCTCTCACTGAACCCAGAGCTAGACCAGAAGCCAGCAAACTCTGTGATTTATCTGTCTTCAGCCTCCTCAGCACTGGGTTTGCAGACAAGGTGAGTGGAGGTTCGGGAAGTTGGAACACAACTGCTCATGTTTACTCAGTAAACACTTCTACTCACTGAGCCAGCTCCTCTGTCTAAATAAAGATTTGTAGTCCCCCTTCTTCCTGAACCATAGTTTAGTACCAGTTTTCAAGTGTTCACCTCATAATACTGAATGCATATAATTTTGTAAGATGCATTTTTTTTCAAATGAAGCTAGACAGGACCATTAAGTCTCAACCTATCTAAATTCTTACATCCACATCCATGGTTTTGTAAAGATGGGATTTGTTTCCTTCCAGTCACTTCGTCCAGACTCTGGCCTGGCTTCAGGTGAGAATGCTAAGCAAGGGGAAGGGTTTTAGAGACCGAAGCGGTGTTCTGCCAGAGTGGCTGCTCTT